GTGCACGAGCGAGCCGGGAGAAGAGAAAGGGAGAAAGAGGAAGAGAATAAGAGACAGACAGGCGGCTTCGTGTGGGGGCACTCAGTGGTCACGCCTGTGATCCCAGTGACTCAGTACTGAGGCAGGAGGATAGAGAGCTGGAGGCCAGCGTCAGCAACTTGGTGAGATCCTTTCTCAAGATGAAAACATATTAAATGGGGCTGGGGATGTGGTCAAGCACCCCTGGGTTCAATCTCCAACACCCACCCCCCAATTTTTTTTTTCAATTAAAAGGCAGAGAGAGGTGGAGCGGGCTGCTGCTTCTGCAGTGTCTGGGTGCCATCCTGCAGGCACGCAGGTGGGACGAGGTCCAGGGCAATAAGCAGGCATAGGGGACTGGGGTCTGTCTACCGGCTTCCTCTCAGTGTCCAGCTATGGCTGGGTCTTGCCCACCCTTCCTGGACTTGCAGGAGGAAGGACTCAAGACAGCAGGGGCTCAGAACAGAGCTGGGGGGAATGAAGCCCAGAGAGAAGCCCTTGGCTCCGGCACACATCGCCCTGTGACCTTGGGGACTAGTAGGGTGCTCTGGCCCCGTGAGTGGCCCTGGAGGTCCGGTTCAGCATGCCGGGATCCCAATGTGGAGCCTCCATGGTGGCACTCAGCTGGGGACAGGGACTGCTTCTAGCCTGGCCCCCGGCGTTCCCCCAGCTCCATGACCCGTGGGTCACTCACCGCCCCTCAGTTTCCCTATGTGGACAATGGAAGCAGCCACCTTCCCTCTCCTTGGGGTGGTTACAAGGACCCAGAGAGGCTGGTGAAGAGTCCAGCAGTAGCTGCCCTGGGCGCTATCATGCCAGTATTTGGAGTGACCCACCCCTGAGAGGCAGTGGATGGGGCAGGCAGGGCAGGGCATGGCGGTGGCCTGGGGCAGCTCAGAGCTGCGGCCCATCTCCCAGTTATAGGTAACTTGTGTCCCCAAGTCACATGCTAGCAGCCCCATCCCAATTAGATGCTGTGAGCAGGTGGTGCCTCGGGGAGGTGACAAGCAGGACCCCTCATGTTACCATGGTGACTTACATGGGAACAAGGGACCCAGAGCACCTGCTCAGCCAGGTGAGGATGCAGCTGGAGGGCAGCCATGTGCAAACCAGGAACTTCCCTCACTAGAACAGGATGGCCCCCTGACCATGGCTCTAGTCCCCAGGACTGTGAGGAACAAGGGCAGTTGGTGGCTTTGCTGCCACACCACACCTCGGCTTCCAGGGGCTGGTGGGACTGTGAACCCACACCCAGGCACTAGAACCATGTGGAGGCCCACAGGCCTTGCGGGAGCTGCCTGTCCCGGCCACGCAGCACAGTCCAGGACCCACGAGCCCCCCCGTGTTTCAATGTGACTCTCAGGAGCGGACATGGTGGGCGTTACTTGGTGACAGCACTACCTTCTCGTGTGCCAGGGTGGCGGGGTCTGGAGCCAGCTGAGGAAAGCAGACCTTGAGGCCTTTGGAGAACATCCAGACTTGCAGGATAGCAGGACAGAGCCCAGGGTCAGCACGTGTCCCCAATGGCTCAGAGGAAGGGAGGCTCTTACTCTCCACCGGAGACTCCCATAAACATGAAGTCACATCTCAGGTGTGACGTGCCTGCATCCGTAACGGGGTCAGTCCAGCAGGGCGCCTCCCTGGCCTGTAGTCCGCCTGGACACTCCTGCCACACGTCCTCTGGATTTCCAGGGGTCATGGGGGTCATGAAGCTCTCCCCAGGCCTCACTGGACACTGATGGGTAGGAATGTCCTTTCTGGGGAATCGAACCCAGGGCCTCCTGCACTCTGCACAGGTGGTCTCCCACCGAGCTGCTCGCCAGCTGGCGTAGAAAAGTTTTATTAGAGAGTGGACGTCAGGATAACAGTGAGACTGCAGCAGTCGCAGCCGAGGGACACCAGCCCAGGGACCTCAGAGCTGCCCCTGACCCACAGGGCATCTCCTCGACAGGCTGCCGGACAACATGGCAGGAGGCTGAAGGAGCTACGTGTGTGGAAGGCGCTGCGGAGGAACAGGAGGGTGCGTTTCCAGGGGACAGGTCTCCCAGAGACCCCCCAGGCCACCCTGTCTGACCCGACAGCAGGGTCATTCCTAGCTCCAGGGAGCACAGGGGGACAGATGGACACAGGAGGTGCCAGGCTTGGGGAGGGGCAGGAGGATATGGGCTGGCCTCTGCCCCTGGAACCAGGAAGTGTGAAAATCTGGTGAAGGGAGAAGCCTTCCTGCCTGTGAAAGGGTCCTCTCAGCCCCGCCCTAGCTGCAGGGTGACCACTGACTTCCCATGCTGTAAGGGCAAATCCCTTGTAGTGCTGGAGCCCAGCAGGCCCGACCCACCCCAGGACCTTGGCATCTGGAGTGCCGTCTCCCAGGTGCCTGTGCCTCAGATCCCCACCCCACAGGCTGGGACTCCGGCTCCCTCCTCCATTCAGGGGCCTCCTTCCTGATCCCCTTGGAGGCCTGCAGGCAGATGGGGAGGTCCTCCTGCAGGGTTCCTGCTTCTCCAGATCCAGGGCAGGTTCCACACCTCCCAGTGCTGCTGCTGGAGAAGACATTGTCACAGAGGTGGCACTTCCCTGCTCACCCCTGGCCACTCTCCTCTTCCTATGTGAACCCCACCTTTGGTCCAGAGGTGAGAAAGCCCCTCTGCAGCCCAGGGAGTGGATGGGCATGTCCAGAGAGAAGATGAGGCTCTCTGGCAGGGAGGGGAGCTGGTGGGAGGCAATGGAGACAAGGGTCCTGATTTCCGTCTGGGCAGGAGGGACAGGGCTCTGTAGACTGGGAGCCTGGGATAAGAGGACTGGGTAGAGCAAGGCCTGGACACTGGCCTAGAGTGGGGCAGTTGTGCGCTTGGCAGACAGGTCCTGAGTGGCCACTGGGTGTAGACATAAGCCCCCCTCTTTAGGTGGCTCCAGCTCCCAGCAGGTGGCACTGGATCAGATGGATGAGTGGGTGACAAGTGTCTATGAATGTCCAGAGCGTGCCCTGCACTCCGAGTTTTTCCGCTGGGCCTCTACTTTCCCAGGGAAAAGGGCACAATGGCCCCTGGGGACTCGAAGGAGCGCACGGGAAGGTGGCAACGGACGCCAGGAGGGCCATCTATTAGCCCCTTCCCCACCAAGCGCAGGGTCTCCGCTGCGCCACGCGGCAGGGCGAGGTCGCGTTTGCGCCCTTGCGAGGAGGCGGCCGCTCAGGCGGGAAGGAAGGCGTCCGCGGGTCCCCGGCCTCGCGGCTCACCGCGCCCCGGCCCGGGCAGCACCTAGCGCGCACAGCAGCAGCAGCTGAGGCGGCAGCGAGGCGGGCGGCGCGGGCGCGGCCGAGGAGCAGGAGCACACGGCGAGGCCGTCCTGCGCGCGGCCCTGCGGCCCGGGCTGCGCTCTGGCCGCCTCCGCCTCCGCCTCGCCGGCCGCTGGCTCCCCGCACACCAGCCAGTCCCGCGCCGTGGACTGCGGGTACCCGGGCGCCGCCTCCAGCTCGCCTTCCTGCACTTTCCAGTACTCCTGGCCGCGGAAGAAGTAGGAGGCACCTGCGGAGAGCAGGGCCAGGCTAAGCCCCGAGGCGAGAGGACCATACCAGCAGGTCCACGCCAGAGGGAGGGCCTGGCCACGGAGGAGGAGCCACTGGAGGCAGGGACAGTGGGTGGGCCACCTCTGGAGTTCCTTTCCCTGACTGGGCTTTTATCTAGGACCCTGCCCTGTGCAGGCTGTGCTAGGTGTCAGGGCACAACTCAGAGGGAGGGACACTGCCTATCCTGTGTGGCTGGCCGGCCAGCTGGGGTGCTTCTATGCTGCCAGGGGCAGATACAAACTGGGGGCACAGGAGTCCTGAAAGATGTTGAGCACTGGCTAGGCTGTGTGGTGCCTAGGAAGGTGATCCAGAAGTCCCCACAGGTGCAAAGGCCCAGGGTCCAGTGTGTTTGGGGTGTGAGAAGCAGGAGGAGGCTGGTGTTGGTGGAGGGAGTGGGCAGGGTGGAGGATGGGCTGAGAGGTGGGGGAGCCAGGGGTGTGGACTTCGGGAGTCAGGACTCAGCTGACAGGCAAGCCCTGGCTCAGGGTAGCCCCATTTTGCTGGTGAGGAAACTGAGGCTGCACAGTCTCCCCCCTGAGCATGCTCACCATCAGACCAGCGCATGGCGTCATCCAGCGTGCTGGGGACACCCCTCCACAGGGGGCCCTGGGCAGGGTAGCCAGGGTCCATGCGCCGAGTGTGGTCATCATAGCGCCAGTAGAGCTGGTCCTTAAAGAAATAAGTCCTGTCATTGTGAGGCCAGGAGAAGGCGGCATCCACACCGCCCGGCGGGAGGCTGAAGTCCGAGATGGGCCGTGGGTATCCTTCCTCTACGTTATTGTCCTTAAACACCCAGTATCTGTCTCCTGGGGGCGAGAGAAAGAGCGTGGGCAGGGGATCCAGCTGGCCTGCTCCCATGTTTGCCGCCCTCACCCAGGGGTGGGGTGACGTGGCTGCAGAGTGGTCACCCACATCACAGTGCCCAGGAGTCCTCATGGGTATTTATTGAGCACCTACTATGTGCCAGGCCTGGGTTGGTCATGTAATCAGCAGCCTGTGGATGCAGGCTCTGCTCTGGTGGCCACTTAGGACCATAAACAGAACATAGGGTGAGTTGGCCACTGCCTGGGGGCGCTGTTTCGTGTCCTACCCAAGTTCTGGGCTGGGGGCTAGGAACGTCTTCATGGAGAAATCAAGCAAGGTGCTCGGTCCGAGGCCTGCGTGTGGATTTATGCAGTAAGCAAGATGCTTCAAAGCCCCTTGCTGGACAGAGGGTCTGAGTCACATGGGAGGACATGAGGGAGGGTGCCTCGGAGGTGGCCAGGATGCAAGGTGGCACACTGGTCAGCTGGTGGGAACGAACATGGCGGGGCCACAGCCTGGCGCCTCAGAGAGTGACCAGCAGAGCCAGGCAGAGGCCCTTGCCCTGCCAGAGACCAAGAACTGAGCAGGATCCCCGGAGAGGCCTGCAGGCCGGGACGCAGCAGCCCTGTGCATAGCAGTCCCAGCTCCACCCACAATGCGTACAGGCAGACTGCAGTGGGTCCTCAGGATGGACCATATTCAGCCTTGAGGTGGGGGAAATTCTGCCCCGCATGTGTCGCCCTCCATGATCCCAGCAGCTTAGGAGGCTGAGGCAGGAGGACGGCAAGTTGAGGCCAGCCTGGGCACCTTAGCAAGACCATATCGCAAAGGACAGACAGGGCTGTGGATGCTCAGGGTGGAGCACCTGGGTGCAACCCCAGTAGCAAAAAGGAGGGGAGTCCTGCCACGGGCCCCAACAAGGATGCACTTGGAGCGCGTTGTGTGTGCAGGCACTCAGGGAGGCTCTGGAGCAGCCAGACCCCCAGGGACAGAGGGAATGGTCTGTGGGTGGAAGGCCAATGCCCAGCGGCACCAAGTCACGCGCTGGAAACAGCTGAACATCAGACTCTGTCACGTGCCTCCTTCCTGCCACCACTGAAAGGAACCACCAGGGGCTGGGTGTGGCTCAGTAGTGGGGCACCTGCCTGGCATGGGGAAGCCTGGGTGAGTCCTCGGTGCCACACACACGCACACACCACAGACATGCGCACACACCACAGACACACGTACACACACTCACGCACAAGTGTTCCAGATAGGGTCAGCTGTGATGCTGTAGCAGGGAAGGACACAGGTCAGCTGAAAGCAGGCAGCACAGGGACTGGCAGGCTCCATCGGGGACATGGGTGCAAAGCCCATGGACCTGGGCCTCTCGTCTCACCCAAAATGCATAGCATCAGAGAAACTTGTGGGCAGCCTCTGCAGATGACCCCAGGGAGCATCCCTGGGAGGGACAGGTCAGACACCAGCCCTCGGTGATGCTCGGCCAGTAGGAGCCCAGGACCCGACCCTGGGAGGCACAGACCCTGAGGCCTGGAGCTCCTGAGGGGAGCAGCACCACAGGCCCAGGGAACGTTCCAGTCAGAGACCAGGGAGGCAGCCAAGCACATGGGGACCCTGGCGGTCCTGTGGGCAGGTGGCAGGCGAGCTTGTGCCCTGGATGGCGGCATCTGGTCACTGGTGGCTGCTGGGGCTCTGTGGGGCTCTAGGAGCGCCGTGCTGCAGTCTGCATCTCCCTGTCCAGAAAACCCTGCTACTCTTTGTTCTGGCTCGTTTTGTTTTTTGTACTGGGTACGGGCCACTTGTCTTGGGGACTGGGCCACTCGTCCTGGGGACAGGGCCACTTGTCCTGGTGATGGGTTGTCCTGGGGACCAAATCCAGACCTCTTTGTATCTTATTTAGTCACAGGTCTCCCTGAGTTGCTCAGGGTCCTGCTACTTTGCTGAAGCTGGCCTTGAACTTAGATCCTCCTGTCCCAGCCTCCTGAGCTGCAGGGACCTTAGGCAAGTACCACGGTGCCTGGCCCATGTGATAGTTCTGCAGTTTTTCTACAAGTCTGATTTTTTTCCCCCAACATAAAATTTTGAAAAAGAAGGAGGTTCTGTGGGTCTTGATGGTCCCACGCGGGCCATGTGCAGAGCAGAAGCAGCAGTGCTGCTCATGGTGCACCATCCTCCCGGGAACACGGGGACACAGCCAAGCAACAGACACTACAGGAGCCACTGCACATGCTGCTCTCTGCCACGGAGCAGGGTCCCGGGGGCAGCCTCCGGCTCCACCACCCAAGGGTCCCACCTGCTTCTCCTGAAGCGTCACTCACCCGAGGGTCCCCAGGGCTTGCCAGTGCAGGTACCCGGGACTACAAGGGCCATGTGAGAGACGCACGGGAGGGAGGCAGCAGCTACAAGAGGCAGCTGCAGCCAGGCTCTCTGCACCTCCCAGAGGAGGAGGCGGCCACTGCTGGGCTGACCCTCCCCGGGGCTCAAGTCCTGGGCCTCAGCACGTGGCCCTGCTGGAGTCATGGCTAAAAGAGGATCCTGCTGCTTTGGGCCTCCTCATCAGAGACAAGAGACGGCACTGATGGGAGGCACAGCCCACGCGGCCAGCGCTATATGGGGTTGAGAGGCCTGGACAGTGCTCCTGGAGCCCAGGGCGCCCTGTCCTCACTGAGGTCAGACTCCGGGCCACGGTGGGGAGGGGCCCAAGAGACTTGCTCCCGAGGGTGGGTACTGGCCTTTCACAAACTAGGGCATTCTTTGTGCTCAGCAGAACGGCTGCTGCCTCAGGGCCTTGGCACTGACTGTCCCCTGACCTGAACTCTGTTTCTGGAACTCTGGGGTTGTTTTTGGTTCCGAGAAGTGGATCCAGGGGCATTTCTACCATTGAGTTATATCCCCAGTCTTTTTTATTTTGAGACAGGATCTAAGTTGCCGAGGCTGACCTCGAACTTGTGATCCTCCAGAGTGGCTGGGGTTACAGGCAGGTGCCACTGTGCCCGGCTCAAATGGCATCTCCTGAAGTGGCTTTCCTTGCTCCAGGTGCTCTGTGCCAACCTGAGTCTTCCCCACGCTGAGCCCTCCTTCAGCTGACATTCTTAGTACTTGCGAGAGCTTTCTAGCAAGAGGCCTAGGTTGTCATGTTGCTCCCTGTGTACCCATAGGAACTACCACAGGCTGGGCATACAGCAGGTGCTCAATATGTATCCACCTAGTGCACAAGGCACGAGGGGCTCTGTGCTCTGGACTGTGGAGCAGACCACGGAGCAGCCTCCCAGCAGGTGTGTCTGTGCTGTGGGTGCCGCTGCAGCCTCTGTCAGCGAGGCCACGAAGCTGGGGAGGCCCACCCACCTTTGAAGAAGACAATCTTATGGTCACTCGTGCGCTCATACACGGCGTCCACACTGTCCAGGTGCAGCGGCAGGCCCCGCCAGAAGCGGTGCATCTGCGCTGGCTGCAGGGACACCAGGTGCCGGTCCCGGTTCAGCCTCCAGAAGTACTTGCCTGAGGGGACAAGGGGGTGGCTACAGGTGGCGAGTCTGGGGACCTCGTGGGCTGAATCCCGCCACCTCCCACCCCTGGGCCCTGGGGGCACCTTTGAAGAAGAAGGCTTCGCCACGGATCTGTGCCACTGCGTCAAAATGGGCGCTGCACCTGTGGGGCACGTCCTTCCTGGGCCTGCGGAAAGAGGGCCAGGTGGGCAGGAGGCGCCAGGCCACGCACCCCCGGATCCTGGCTTCCTGCAACAGGGGACCCATGGGGAGCCCACAGAGGGGCAAGCTTGCCAACTGCTCTCTTGACAGGGGATTCATAGCCACAATATGTAAAAACTCACCGATAAAAAAACAAATGTCCCCCTCATTAAACAGACAGAGGGACCAGATGCTTCTCCAGAGAAGCACAAAAGGCCCACAGATATATGAAAAATGTCCAACACCAAGTGCAACCAGGGAAATGCACAAGACAACACTGAGACTACATCTCACACTAGTCACAAAAGCAGTCCCCAGGAACACGGCTTCCCGAAGCCCACACTTTCGAATGACATCCTGCCTCACCGTTAGCCCCCAGAAACGGAGCAGCCTTCTACGGACTGAGACCTCTGACACCATGAGTCCCCAAATAAACTTTTTCTCTAAAAAAAAATACAAATAGCAATAAATGCTGGCGAGGATGTAAAGGGAAAGGAGCACTTTTACACTGTTGGCGGGACTGTGAATTGGCTCCTCAAAGACAAGGCATGGGCCAGGCATGGTGGTGCACGCCTAATCCCAGCCACTCTGGAGGCTGAGGCAGGAGGATCTCAAATTTAAGGCCAGCCTCAGCCACCTAGCAAGACCCTAAGAAAATTGGTGAGACCCTGTCTCAAAATATAAAAAGGGCTGGGGACATGGCTCAGTGGCAGAGCGCTTGCCTAGCATGTGTGACGCTCTGGGTTCAATTCTCAGCACTACAAGTAAATAAGTAAATAAAATGGAGATCTCTTGACAACTAAAAAAAAAAAAAAAACTATTAAGAAGAACTTTTTTAAAAAGGGCTGGGGATGTGGCTCAATGGTTAAGCACCCCTGGGTTCAATCCCCGGTATCAGGAAAAAAATTTTTTTTAAAAAAAATTTTAATATTTATTTATGTATTTTAGTTTTCGGCAGACAGAACATCTTTGTTTGTATGTGGTGCAGAGGGAATGGTTGAAAGGTGACCCTGCTCGGGGATTAGGGTGGATCCTGCTGCCTCGGGTGGAACCCGCTACTTGGGAGTTCCTGGGTTGAGTTCTCGCAGGGTTCTGAGAGAATTGGCGTGCAGAGCCCAGTGGAGGGAGTGTGTTCCCAGGAAGTGTGTGTAGAGTGCTGGTGAGAGTTCAGGAATAAAGAGTTGCTGTTTGAATCTACAAGGCTTTTTGGCGGCTCGGTTATTTGTGCCCAGTCAGACTGCGGCACCACATACATGTAAAATAAGGATATTGTGTCTACCTATAAAAAGGCTGGGTGGAGCTGGGTGGTTGAGTACCCTGGATCCGTTCCCTGGTGCCAGAATATATTTGTAAAAGGAAGAACGGGAGCAGGTGCTCTCAAGGAGTCCTCGTCACCACGGGCTCTGGGCAGCGTGCTTGCCTGCTCCCTTGCGTCCCAGGTTGGCAGGGGTCATCTCTGAGCACACTGAGGCTGTGGGTGCTCCTCGCACTGTGGGCTGGAGGGGAACCGTGTCCCACCAAGAGGCCAGCTCACACTTGATGCAGCATGGACCCCAATCCCACCTCCAGAACACGGCCACAGAAAATGCCATGGCTGTCCCTGGTTACGGCCCACAATCAGGGGCCACTGAGTAGCTGAGCAGCCACAGTGCATGGCCCTCCGTGACAGGGGCCAGCTCCCAGAGAGGCAGCGGCTGGGCCGGCCTGGAATAGAGGCCCTGGCTCCCCCCAGCACTGTGCAGTGTGGCCAAGGGCAGTGGACGGGCCTTCGTGCTCAGCTGCAGAAGTCCCCAGGCCTGCAGACTACACACCCTTTGCCTTGACCGCCCCTTTGGCCAGTGCGGTTGGACAACCCAGAAGCCCAGTGACTAGAGGCTGAGGCAGGAAGATGGCAAGTCCCAGGTCCGCCTGGGCACCTTGGTGACACCTTGTCTTAAAACCACAGAGGAAAAGGACTGGGGTGCGGCTCAGGGTGCAACACCCGAGGGTCAGTCCCAGCACAAGAAAGGAAGGAAAGAGGAAGCAGGAAAAATGGAGAGCGCAGAGGAGGGAGGTGAGGTGCCGGCCAGTGGGCCAACACAGCCGTGCGCATCGCAGGGCTCTGGGCACACTGGATGAGGACAGGCAGGCCACCGCATGGTGACAGGGCCATGGCTTACGGGGTGCTGGAACGGTTGTCGGGGGGCTCTGGCAGTAGGGGTGGCTCCTCGGGCTCTGGGGTATCCAGTTGTGCTGTGGGGGACACAGACTCCCGCACACCTGTGGGAACAAGGAGGATAGCATCCAGCCCAGGACTTACTCCTTACGTCCCTGCAGGCCCTCGGGAGACCCCAGGATGGAGCCAGGCCTCTGGGCTGACAGGCCCCCAGCACCCCTCCCACTGCAGGAATGGCCCTGAGGGACCATGAAGCACTCAGGCTGCCTTCAGAGCCTGCCCAGCGCTGGCCCGCCTGACCCTCCCTGTCCACCTGCAAGAACTGAAGTGGTGCCAGGCGGCAGCCACATGCACAATCCTGGCCCCTCCAGAGGACGGCAATTCCAGGCCAGCGGGCACCTCAGCAAGACCCTGTCTCAAAATAAAATACAAAGGACTGGGCCACGGCTCGGTGGGGACACTGGCCGACCACAGGCCACAGCTCGGTGGGGGGCACTGGTGCCCAGAAACAAGTCCTGGGTTCAGTTTCCACGGCTGCAAAAACCAGAAGGATGGGAAGCACGTGTCCAAGAGCAGCCGGACACCACGCTCACAGTGCCATCAGAGCTGCCCTGGGAGGGGGACAAGCAGCCCAAGTGCCCGTCACCACAGGTACGTGGACGCAGGAGCTCAGTGTGAAGAGGGACATGCTCTGACATGCTAGACGTGGTGGGACCTGAGGACGCTGTGTACCCTGAAAGACACCGGCGGCCGAAGGCCCTGGACGGCCTGCCTGGCCAAGCTGGTGGCCCCAGCAAGCCAACCGCAGGGACAGAAAGAGCCCTGGCTGCCAGGGCTGGGGACGAGGAGAGGCTGGCAGGCCCTGGTCCCTCTGGAGTGACCCAGGCTCTGGACCACTGAGCCACATCCCAGCCCATTTAAGTTTTTTATACTGAGGCTGGCCCTGAACTGGTGATCCTCCTGCCTCAGCATCTTAAACTGCTGAGATTACGGGGGAGAGGGGGGCACTGCACCTGGCTAGACATGGACACTTCAAAGAGTGAATTTTGCGGGATGTGCGTTTTACTGCAGTGAAAGCGACACCCCATCTGGGGACGGATGGGTGAGGAACTTGCCCCTCATGGGCGAGGCCATGGGTTTCCTCTAGCCCCATGGACATCGGTGGAGAGTGGCAGGGACAGCACAGAGTGAGGCCTGGGCCCTGGACTGGGGAGTGGCTGGGCATGGCCGGGACCAGGACGCAGGGGTCTCATCATCTCCTCTCTGGGGCTCGGGTTCCCAAGATGGGGGACAGGGCTCTTTAGCCTTATTTCTGATGGTTTTCAGGAGGGAGGGGCCCTGTGGCGGAGCTCATCTTGGCCCGTGCACTCCTAAGGTCCACCCTGGGCAAGCTGCCTGGCCCTGGCTCCTGTGTTCTACCCTGGGCAACCTGCCTGGTCCTGGCTCCTGTGGTCCACCCTGGGTAAGCTGCCTGGCCCCGGCTCCTGTGGTTCACCCTGGGTAAGCTGACTGGTCCCGGCTCCTGTGGTCCACCCTGGGCAAGCTGACTGCCTCCATGTGCCTTGGTTTTCCCCTGTGTGGACAGTTGTCCCCTCTCAGGACCATGGAGACTTGCAGGGCCCCTTGCTCTGACAGGCCTGCACTTGCCCCATTGCTGCTGCCAGGATCCTGAGAACTGGGGACAGATGTGGCTTTCCCTATGCTCCTAGGGACTCAGGGTGGGTTCTGAGAGAGGCTGAGGCGAGCTGGTCCTCTGCTCCCTTCCTGCCACTCATGCAGGGCAGCCAGTGTGTCTGTCACGGGGCAGTCTGAGGACAGCTAAGCCAAGCTCAGGACGTCCAGGGGACCTGTCTCCGGCCTCAGGGACACTCACCATACAGCTGCCAGACGCGCACCCTGTCATCGTAGGGCAGCCTGTAGCGCAGCGGGTCGCCCACGGGGCCCTGGTAGTATGGCTGCATGATGGAGCTGGGGGTGGAGACGTGGCTCAGCCCGATGGCATGGCCAAACTCATGGACGGCCACTGCAAACAGGTCCATCCCGTGGGCATCTGGGGGATGGGAGCTGCATGAGCAACCCCCTCTCCCCTGCAGTCCGGGGCCACATGTGGGGGCCTGCTGCCCTGGTGGTGCTGGGGCTGCATCCCTTCAGGGGACTCTGCTGGGACTGCCCGCTCCCTCTGCGGCTCTGTGGGGTCTGGGCTTCTCCCTGGGGGTCCCCTGCATGCTCACAGCAGGCAGCAAATTCTCTGGGCCACGCAGGGCTCATTCAGGCTTTGAGGACCAGCCGAGTCCCTGAGCACAAAGGCCCGGGTGTCAAGTGGGTCTCTAGACCCTGGAGCTACAGGCCTGGCCCCAAACGATGGGCCGGGCCCTCCTCACTAGGAGAGGCCCGGGCGAGGTCGGCCTGGTTGCTCACGGATACTCAGGGGTGGCTGGAACCGGGACTGCCCGGCCACTCACAGGCACCTTTACGCCAGTTTGGCTGGGGGCACGTGGCCTGCCTGCCGCTTGGTCTTGGGGCTGGGTGGCTCCGCGTCACCTCAGGGAGTCTGTGGGGGCTGCCCGGGCCTAGGGGTCCCAGGGACTCAGCACCCACCAGAGGAGCGGAAGGTCCAAGCCTCCTCATCGTCAAAATGGGTGTCCCCTGCAGAGTGGTGGTCTCCGGGGAAGAAGGCGTGGGCCACTGTGCCGCCAGGGCCGTCGAAGGGGTATTCGTCCTGGTGGTCGGCCCTGGAGAAGTCTATCTGGATGTCTGCGGTGCTGCCGGCCACCTCGTGGAAGTTCAGCGGGGCGATGTCACTCCAGACTTTGAGGGCGTAGTACATGAGCGCCCGCACCGTGTCAGGGCCCAGGGCTGAGTCCCGTGGGAAGGTCCGGACCCTGTGGTGGTGGTGGGGGAACAGCAGGTCCAGGCCGGGGAGCACAGGCCATGCCCCAGGCTGGATGAGCATCCTCCCCGGTTGGGGCTGTGGGGTCTACAAGGGTGTGCCACTACCTTCTGCCTCTGTCCCTCCTCAGAGGTCCCAGGAGTCACCCCAGCTGGACACGGGAGGGAGGGTCCAGGGGGCTGAGGAGCAAGGGTCTGCAGCCTGCCCTGCTGGAGCTTCACAGGGCCCGTCAGCCCTCAGGGGCCAGCAGAAGGGCAGCCCACTAACCCCCTCCTCCCAGACCTGAGAGCACAAGGAAGGGACTGCGTGAGACAATCCCCAATCTAGGGGCCTCCCCATAGGAGGCAGAGACCCTGAGAGAGGAGGCCACATGCAGAGGGGAGCAGAGGTGGGTGAGGGACACCTGGGACATCCCCTCTGGGCAGGACCGGCTTCTGGCTTCCAGAACACAGAAAATCAACCCCAGGTGTCTCAGTCCCTGGTTGGTGGCATTTGGCATGGCAGGTGACACCCTGTCAGGCCTGGTGTTCCCCTCCTGGCCTGGCCACCCACCTCCACGACAGGTTCCTTTTGTTCCACTTGGTTGGAGCCGGAGCCTGGCGCTTCCTTCGAGCCCAGGCCAGAGGGGGCAGGTCAGGGAGGGAACAGCGCGGGGTCTTCATCAGGGCCAGAGTGGCCTCGTCTGCAGGGGGGGTGCTGGTCAGCAGCAGGCCTGGCCCACCTGCCCCCCAGTCTGAGGTTCCCAGGAGCCCCTAAAAGCTGCAGCCTGGACTCTGGCCACGGGTCTCAGGCACAGGCCTGTTTCCCCTGGTCCTGGGGAAGGCCTGTCGGATGAGGCCCACCAAGGGGCAGGGCCCAGGAGGGGAGTGGCCAGGCCGGCACGGCCCTACAGGGACCACAGTGTCTCCTGCCGTCCATAGAACTGACCCAGGATGCCAGTGGCCTCCAGGCCGCCAAACTGCTGCATGGTGGCGATGGCCTTGGACAACTCCTCCTGCGTCTGCAGCCGCCCTGTCGCGGGGTCCGGTGGGGGCAGGTAGCCAAACCTGCTCAGCCACTCCTTGGGACAGAGAACAGAGTGAGGGGTGCCCATGGTGCGGCTCCACGCAGAGCTGCCTAGACCAGTATGACGCAGGGAGCAGGCCTCTGAGCAACACCACCCCAGCCTGACGCCCTCTGTCCAGTTACTCTATAGGCAGCTAAAAAACCTGACGCCTCTTAGCCAGGGTGGGCTTTTGCAGTGCCCAACCTGTGCAATTGCTCACAGCAGCTCTGCACCACCTCATTCCTGAGGCAGCAAAATGTCCAGGGGACACAAGTGAAGTTAGAAGTTTCTTCAGTGTGGCCATCACCAGATGCAGGCCCCAGGCTACGTATTAGGGGTGGTCTAAGACCGAAGGCTTGAAGCCCCCGTCAAGAAAGGCAAAAGATGACCTCACAGAGGAACAGCACTGAGGGCCTAGGGCCTGGACTGCCCACTGGACCTTCTGCTGTGCAGCCTGGGGAAGGGTGGTCAGACCCTCTGGGCTGCTTTCTCAGCAGTGAAACCAGTACAGTGCTGACTTGGCAGGGTGGTTGAGGACAGGTCAGTGGGGAGGTGGGAGGGGCTCACACCAGCACTGCCCGGGTGCTCTGTATGATGGATCTTGGATGTTGGAAACAGCGAGTGGGGGGCAGAAGGGTCACCTGACCCTTGAACCAAGCAGGAAGGCAGGTTGAGCTGCCACCAAGGGGGCCCTGGGTCCTGGGGTGGGCCTCATCTGCAGCTCCATCCACAGCTGTGGCTCCTTAAGCCACCAGGTGGCGCTGTACAACTGTGCAAAAGGCAGTGAAGGTCCCATGAGCACTGCTCTGTCTCGAGTCACAGCTTACCCGCCCTGGAGCACTCAGAGGTTGGGTTTCAGGGACTCCCTGTGTCCACTCCAACCCTGGACCTGCTTCAAGAAGGGTGTGAACCAGGTGACATGCCAGGGCCAACCAGCAGACCCTCCTCTTTTCCTTTTTGCATACCGGGGCTCCCTGGCGCTTCACACACGCCAGGCGACCCCTCCACTGAGCCACATCTCAGCCTTTTTAAAATTCATTTTGAGGGAGAGTCTCACTAAGTTGCCCTGGTTGGCCTCAAACTTGTCCTCGGGATGGAAGCGGTGGCACATGCCTGGAATCCCAGGGGCTCAAGAGGCTGAGGCAGGAGGATCACAGGTTCAAAGCCAGCCTCAGCAACTTAGTGTAGACCCTATCTCAAAATAAAGAACTAAAAGGGCTGGGGATGTGGCTCAGCACCCCTGGGTTCAGTCCCTGGTATGAAAAACAACAAAACCCCTGCCACCCTCCACACCTCAAGTTCCAAAGTGGCTGGGATGGCATGTGCGCCCCACTGCTCCTAGCTAGGTCTGGGTGGGTCTATGTGATGGATATTTTAAAAATCCTCTCATTTCACTTGTGCCACATGTCAGTCCCCACCACCTGTCCTGTGGGCTGGTGCTGGAAGGAAGGTGCTGCAGGAAGCCAGCCATGTGTGGGAATGGGATTCTGAATTCCCAGATTCCCAGGACCTCAAAAGGGACAAGTTATTAACCAGGAGGGCAGTCTTCATGATTTGCATATCATTTGCATACACCTGCAGACCAGCTAGATTCCCCCTCCACGTGACAACTGGGTCCTTGCTGGGATCTTGCCTCTGTTCCATTATCCCTTTCCCAAGCCAGATTCCCCTCTCAGCCTTGATAGGAGGTCCCCAAGAGTGCACACAACTGGAGGTTCCTGGGACCCCTCCAAGGCCACTGGGCAGGTTCTCCAAGTGGACTTTCATGGTGGGGCCTTGGGAGGAACCTGATGACGACTGAGGTGAGCAGTGCAGTGGGGCCCTGGTTCCAACCTGCTACCTCCCAGCTCGAGTTCCATCAATAGGATGTTCCGAGTGTCCCACAGTTTATCACTGCCGGGGCCCTGGAACACCCAACAGCATTCCCGGGGAGCACGTGCATGGTGGTTTTTCCAAAGGGTTTGACCAACATTTTCAGGTTCTGTTTCTGGTTTTGCAGGGAATGCACCCGGGGCTGTGGGCACACCGGGCAAGCACTGTGCCACCGTGCTGCACCCTAGCCCTTTCCATTTTAGTTATGGAGGCTGGCTTTCAGCGTCTGTCATCCTGCCTCAGCCTCCCAGGTCGCTGGGATGGTAGGCACGCTCCATCACACCGGCCATTTGTAAATTTGGTCCTGCAGTTTTTTGTCCTTTAATGTTTTTTTTTAAAAAAATTTTAAAATATTTATTTTTTTAGGTGTAGAATGACATAACAATGCCTTTATTTTTATGTGGTGCTGAGGATCGAACCCGGGTCCCACCCGTGCTAGGCGAGCGCTCTACCGCTGAGCCACAATCCCAGCCCCTGCAGTTTTCTTCTCTAATGCCAGAAACCACAGTTGTGAAGCCTCTGCCAGGAGCCCGGCTTCGGCTGCACCAGCTCTTCACCTCCTTGAAGGTCTCCGCAGGCTCCCCGGCCTACCTGATGCCAGGCGGGGACACCCCAGCCCTCTTAGTAGACACCTCCAACACCTACCAGGGGTAAGGTCCCAGGAGGAGGGCCCACTGTCCCAGACCTTGCCTGCCTGGGACCAGGGAGAGGAGCTGGGGCAGTGCAGACTGGGACCATGCCTGGGGGCTGGTGCCCTTGGGGCAAGCCTAGAGAGGGTAGGCATGGCTGGCACAGCCTGCAAGCTCCTCCCAATCTCCAGAAGGGGCAGGTACCCAAGTGCCCAGGGCTGTGTACATTTTATTTTGGCTGGGGACTGAGCTCATTTGCCATGTGGGACGAGGCTAGTGGGCCCCAGGCAGCAGGCAGCAGAGCGGGCTGAGCAGCCTGGGAAGAGCCACCCAGAGCTGGCTGTCCCTGCTGGGGGTAGAGGCTGCAGAAGAGGTGCTCCGCTGCGTCCCACCAGGATGCACCAGCCCCTCTGCCCCTCCGTGGCTGGCAGAGCCAAGGCCCAGGGTGGTCCCGAGGGCGCCCTCCCCCGCTGTGCCCCCCATTGGCCTTTCATGGGGACCCACTGGGACCCAAGC